CTCAAGCACATTCGGCTCGTAATCAGTTGACGATGGTCCTAAGGTAATAAGCGCAGGTACTGCTGAGGTCGGCAGATGCAATCGGATGGAGGCCTTCGTGCAAACGATAACGATGGAGAAAGCAACTATTACATTGTATTTGTGTACGGTATGAAAATAGTAGGTACCCAGAATAACTTGTGAACCCAGAACTAATGCGATTCCCGGAAATCCAAAGCTGTTGAGCAGTTAATATTCCTGCACATCGTGAAACCATGCAATTGTCTTCAAGGACAAGAATTCAGTTGAACGATTCTTAGCAACTCTTCATGATCTGTTGGATCATGGAGAGTTACTAAGAAAACAAATATTAATCGGTGGTGGAGGAGTTTGTAATTAAAGTACGAAATTTTTGAAATTTTGATGAAAACTCAAATTTGAAATAAGAGAAAAATTTTCTAGAACGGCAGTCCTTATAAACCTTCTGCCGTACAGCGAACCACGTTGTTAGAAGAAATTACTGAGACTGATCAATACAGAGACTGATCAATGCCCTGACACTTCGGTGGGATAACTACTTAGGAGGTCGATTGACCGCTGACAAGGCAGATAGCCGGGGAAAACTGCGAAAGGTTGTAGGAAATTGCACGAGGTGATTTTTACATGAATAGATAGAATTTTTCATGGGGATTCGAATGGTGTGACTTTGACTGGGATTTTCTTCCTTTGGAAAAAGCGTAAATTTTGCTTTGAAATGAAGTCGCGAAGTTGGCACCCGATAACAACAACCAGTCTAAAATACGCCACTGTTTTCCACCAAGTTGTTTGAAAAGCACAGAACGTTCTGTAGGCAGCTTTTTCATGGAACATCTGGGGCCACTCAAAGTGCCTGAAATCCTGTTTGAAAAGGTTGAAAATCGAGCATTTCGTTCTAGTATCGCACGAAGTGCCCATATCAAGTAGTTGAAAAAACCCTTCTTTTGACTTCATTCTTGGAATTCGCGAACATTAGGGAAAACAGGGCTCCATACATTAGGCACGTTGTGCTAGTGTGGTCCGAACTGAACCACAGCTCGAGATTTTCCGGACTGAAAAGGCTATATCGTCCAGAAGTGACATCGAGCGAAACCCCTCAATTTTCAGGGAAATGGCACCAAAATGATCAGCAGCATTTCGGAAACACAACTATCTAGTTTTTAGTAATCCACTTTCTGTTGATAAAAAAGTCATCAATGAAATCAACAAGTTACAAGAAAGTTTTATCTTCTGTCCACTCGACAAAGCTAGTAATAATTATGGAATAATTTGCAAAAAATACTACATATATGTTATATCTAAGGAAAGGGGATAGAACAAAGCAATGACAGGGTCTGTATAAACAATGACACTAATAATACATACACATATCTCGAAGCAACCACATACACAGATATCATAAATAAACATTACAAATTTAACATTAATAATAATTTAAAAAATGATACTAATAGCAAAGTCCCAAACATATATGCTATACCAAAACTTCATAAAAGACCCATCAAATTCAGATTCATAACAGGTGCAAGAAATAGTAGTCTGAAACCATTGCCTAAGGTCCTCACACAAATTCTTACTTTCATAAAAACCCACTTTATAAATTACAATAAGACAATACAAGACAGAAATCATGATTTTCTAGGCTACTGGGCTATAAATAACATCAATATTAGTGAAAAAATACAAAATTGAAAACCTTAAGCTCTTCTCAGCCGACTTTACCAATATGTTCACTAATCTACCACACACTCATATAATGAAAAACATCACAGAAGTAATTAAAATATGTTTCAAAAACAGCGGCAGAAAGTATATTGCTAACAATGATTTCAGAACATTCTACACTGATAATTGTTCATATAAAAACTATAACTATTTCACTTTAACAGACATCATTTATCACATAGATTATCTACTAAACAACAGTTACTGTAAATTTTCAGAATACATCTTCATTCAAGGAAAGGGTGTCCCACAAGGTAGTAATGTTCAGCCCCCTATTGGCAGACCTCACTTTATCCTATTTCGAATACATATACTCCCTTAAAGAACATAACCCCCAACAAGTAAAAATGGTACCTTTCAGGTATATGGATGACATACTGGTCTTACATAATACAGATACAACTACTATCTTAAATAAATTGAAAAACATTTATAATAACATATTGGACTTAGAAATTACACATGAAAACGTATATAGATGTAACTACCTTGACTTAGAAATCAACATTGAAGATAATAAAATTTATACGAAAATGTATAATAAAACCGATCACTTCAATTTCAAAATAAAACGTTTTCCTAATTCTACAGCTAATATATCAAGTCGTATTAAAAGAAACACAATTTACTCTGAGATTTTAAGGATTGCTAGAACTTGCACTAAAAGAGAAGATTTCATAGATAGGCTAAAAGTCACCAAAATGCAGCTTAAAGAACAAGGTTACCCTACGGATATACTTCTTACCAGTCTTATCAAATGCATTAGCAAAAATTGCTTCATTAAATTTAAGTACAAACTCAGTAAAAATATTCTAAAGGAAATATTTAAATAGCACATCTCTAAAAATACTCACCTCTTTATCCGGAAGAACTTCAGACATGTTGCTATATATAGTAAATAATATCTATCTGAAAACATACTATAATCTTAGTTGTCCGTGCAATATACAATAGTTAATATGAAAAAGTTGTACATTATTGGACATTGTATAAAAGGAGATAAGATAAGGACGGTCATACTGGCATATGGCAGATTAGGCATATATCAAAACAGGCCGGTGTGTACACCCATTCTTGTAAGAACTACACGACCGGCCGATGACCCGACAAGAATAGAAATGCCTAAAATATTCCCTTTTGCCAGTGTTGGGTTTAACCGCAACGCGACACGCTTTACTTGACTTTGGATCTGGTGCCAAGCAGTCTCCTTACACCCGTCCGCTATCTTCCTGTGTGGCACCATCGATCAAAAAATTGTCAATATAACACTCTCGACCACCACGCACATATTTGGAATCGTCAAATATATAACTACCTGTGCAACTGAGCGCCTTTTTTCGATACTAATACTAACATATCACGTCAGTTAGGTTGTAAATAGCGTTTTACAGTATCTCCATCTAACCACGTTTCCTTCATTCTTTCTTACTAGATTGCTTTCCTAATCTGCTCTCCTATTCTCCTTTTACTCCATTCACTTGCACTTGTAACCTTTTTATACACTTGATAATTCTAATATAAGCTAAATTTAACACTTTATTCTCCTCTTCCCTTACTGATGAGCACAAAGGGGAGAAAATTCTTTCGCTCGCTCTCCGTCTAAGGGCACGTGCGAAACGGAGGGTGAGCTATGCTTTGAAACCCCCTTTATTTAAAAGATTTAGTTTTATTCTATTTATTAGATATAACTATTAGTTACTTTTCTTAATCACTTCTCACGCGATGCAGTACGTTATTTCGATGCCACAATGATTTAATTCCCAACGTTTACCCTCTGGTTACAATTATAGCGAGACTCGCTCGCTAACGAGTGTCCTCAGGTACTTCGATAGGAAGCACAGTTCAATTTTCGACTTTTTAGTTTTTTAGGATGCCAGCTTATAGAACTCGACGAGCTGAGTCTAACAGTATAGGGTTTCTATATGAGAAGAGTTATAGCAAAAAAAACGAAAAAAAAACGCGGATCTGCGTTCTTTCGTTTTTTTTGAACAATTCCAGCGGGTATTGTACTTCCAAGCTATTCGTCATATTTTAAGGAGCCAATGTGAGCTTTCCAAGATCGTTGGCTATGAATCAGATACCGTTCCTCAAGTCATGATATAGCCGATTCAAACCGGAAATCAAGGAAAGAGTGGTCAGTGACCATGATTTTCAGCTGAACCTTGCTGAAACCCTGTCATGAAAAGTATCAAAATGATCACGGAATCATGCCCTCTCTGAATATGCTGGTATTTATGGCTTTGTGGCACTTGGTTTGAAGTTCATAATTGGACTGGAGGGTTTACGACGCAGCCGTGTCTGCAGGTAACACCTTGGGTCACTGGAGACTCAAACGTCAATTTCCTTGGGAAAAACGTCAAAAAATTGAAGGAAAGTGGAAGCTCCATACATCGTTGGATTCGTCTTGTACAGGGCTATCGGATGGTCTAAATTTCAGATCATTTGGACCTCTTCTACAGAAGTTATGGCAAAACGACGGTTTGCGACGGAAAAATCTGTCGCAAACCGTCGATTGACCAGAAATTAGGAGCGGTATTGTAATTGTAGGTAATGCGAGGATGTTGTTCAGCCTCATATTGCATGAGGCTGAAACAGCCTTTTATTGCCTGGATTTTAGAGCAGAGTCCGCCTTTCGAAAATCCAGATTCCATTTCAGGAAGCCATTTGTGGTGAACATGCATCTGGTTGTCAGTTAGAGCAGGAGGGGGGGGGGGGTCGTACTCACACCGCCATTTCGCACATCCCCATGCTGTACCCTGACCCCAATCTGTAAGAGAGCGTTCGGTCCCGCGATTCGACGATCGATGCGCATGCTTTCGACTGCATCGATCGCGTCGAACGCGCGACCGAAGCGCTGCCGTCGCGAAGTCTGAACGCTGCCTAAGAGAACACGTCCAACAATAATCTCATCGTGAACATTGCCGCTGAGAGACTAAACATTGCCCTTCATGCACCCTGTTCCGAAATTCGACGAATCTATGCGTGACGCTGGGAAATGGTTTACATGATAGGGAAAACACTTTTCAAGAAGATATTCGAATAGAGAAAACAGAAACCCATATATTTGAGCTTAAGGCCCAGATTACATTCAGAACAGGAAGTCTTTTCTGACTCTGTAAAACGAGCATAGGTCGCTCTTCACAGTCCATCGGAATCAGTGATACCAAAAAATTTGCTAGTACATGGCGTATCCCACAAACACAGGTTACGAGACTACGTTGATACTGAGAGGGGTCATGATCCAAGTGTTAGGGATCCATCTGCCGACATGTACAAATACAGACTTCTCTAGTAATCTTATTTGCAAAGGTGCTGTAAACACTAATAAAACACAGAACTTCTCGGAACTACTTTCAGACGGAGATGTCTTCAAATCATTCATAAAGAAAAATGAAACGTTGCCTATTTATGTCTCTCAAGTGTGCAGGTTTGTACCTCTCTTCCTCTCCATAAAAAGACAAAAGTCTTCAAGGAAATCGTAAGAGAAGTTAATTAGGAGTTTTTAGGTCTGCCACTCTTCAATACGAAAAAGAAGTGACGGTGCAGGGAATTGGAGCGTATCGATATCTTCTGCCAACAACGGAATTTGACTACTCACTACCAGACAATTGTGGTTTTTGCATCCCAGCCACTTTCAGCAAGTACGGAGCCTACGATCGTCCAGTCAACTCTACTTGCCTTCCATCTGGTCTGCTAGACCTCACTGGTTGTCAAGGCAGTGGGTTTCGTTTCATTATGGTAATAGATGATTCTCGGCCCATTTCACGACAGTTGGCACCAGAATGTTGAGGTATGAATGAACAGGACACGTTAGACGCCGAAGGATTCCCACCATTGCATTTGATAGCCGAAGAAGGAGAGGGGGAAGTGGCCCACGAGAATAGACTGAATATTTGATTTTTTTCTTGGCCAAAGAAGTAAGTGGCCTAAGAAAATAAATTGAATATTTGATTTTTTTTTCTGTCTAGCGCGTTCGAGACGTTGAGAGATTGTCATGGGATGGGGGGTCGCATATGTTTGTCGCTTCAAATAGGATGGCCGTGTCTTCCCTTGTCCGGGCTCACCAGAGGATCGGCGTCGCCGAACTACTGTACAGGTACTATTTTTCGGAAAGCTGGGGAACTTCCAGAAAGGGGCGTACCAGTAGATGGAGCTCGGAGAGTAGTCGTATCTCCCGCGAGGGTTTTCCCTAGCGACAGGAAGGCCCCAGTGTATGAACGACTTCATACCCCTCAGCATCACAGCTTTGGCCTAACACACAATGACTTTGACATTGGCAGAATTACAGTCGTTTTCGCTGAGACGCTGAGACCTGCCAGGAGGGCTGGACTTGGCGCGACTAAGGCCTGCTTTCCACCAATTAATAGTAACGCTTCCCCGCCTTAACTACTGAGAGGGGAAGAAGTTGAAGGCGTGCTAAACTGAGCCCGCCTAGCACGTTCCAGCGCTTGTATTCGAAAAGACTTTGGTTCAGAGAGTATTGGTCTTTACCTCACAAATAACTTGGGTCAGAGCCGCTGAGGCAAGACTTTCGCTCATAACTCAACATTTTGCTATGAGGACGATGAGTGCTTCCTTCAGTCACGACGCAGTCTTCTTCCTTCAGATAACTCCAGTTAAAGGCATATAATACGGTAATTCGGTCTCGCTCTAAAATGCTAGAAGGGTGCCATATAGTGGAAATCTGTGAAACGAAGTGAAACGGTCAAGAACCTGTGAAGAAAAGCCTTTGTTCTCGCCTTGTTCTAGCCTTTGACCCAAAAAGCGGTTTCGGACGAGTTAACCGTAGGCATCGTGCCAATGACTGTTATGGCTGAAGGTATGTTCTCATATATCCATGCAGCACCGCGGCGCTTCATATCAATTCCTTTGCTGCATATTTTACTCCGAAAATGAAGCAATACGAGCACCAGGTATGGTCGTCCATTTGTGGGCGGGTATGTTGCAGCTAGATAGGGCCTCATAGGTGTACTTTTCTTGGGAAAATCTTCACGCTGTACCTACTAGAGGGCGTGGAATTTCGTCCTAGCAGGCGATCCTACCCGTCTTCGGAATTTATCGTGCCAACTGCCTTCAATGTATCTTTCAATGGGGGTTTTGACCCGCGTACATTGTTAGAAAGGGTAAGTCAACCCTACTGACGAGGACTCCGTTTAGTTCCGATAATCATTTCAAAGCCTCACTTCTACCAAGCCGCGGATATCGTGCGATCATTTGTTCCACGGTTCAAGCCTACATATGAAAACGACGAGACCACGCTTGACATCGAGCCGGTGAGAAATGAAACCAAAAATTTGAAGCTGATAGAAAATCCTCTTTTTTAGACCACCGGTACCGTAGTTGCTGCTCAAAAGCGACTTCAGCTCAACATGCTTCTCAATCAATTTACAACAATTGGGTAAGCGTTTTTAGAAGCTAAATCAGGTGAATATCCAGTAAGAAACATTGTAAGGCATTCAACAAAATGCATTTGACACAAAAGAAGAACAAATTCGATTAAAATACCTTGACTTAGTCATCATCATGATCAATTCTGCCATTGCAGCAAATTTTTTGCCAAACGCGACTCCCATCCCTCCGGCAATACGACCCTATAGTGCGTGACTTCGCGTACGACTTGTCCTGATCATAATTCGTCAATATCTCTCAAATTTGCGACTCTCTTTCCCTCTGCAGGTGAGTCAAATGAAGTGGCGGTCCTGCCTTCGCCTTAGGAGGAACCACTCTACAGCAGGACTTAGCTGAATCGCATCTTCGTTTGCACCCATCTGAGACAGCGAAACATGTTCTAACATGGCTCAGTCAGCGTTAAGACATGTTTACATCTCAAAACCGCGCTCAGCGTTTTCGCGCAACTGGTTCGCACTATCGAATCGCTCGACATCGCGCGATTGCGAAGCCTGAACGCGGTCTTAGACAGCGTGCAGTGGTTTCGCTGAGGTCAGATGATGGAGAAGCATGAGCGGGGTGGGAAAAGGTCCTCCCGAGGCATATAACGCTAAGTGGTCAAATCCTCCCCAGCGAGTTGTCGCCTTCTGTTTCGCCCCATGAAAGCTGCTATAAAGTTGTCTTGCTGCTGCTGTTTCACTGCTTAATTTTTCGGTGAAAAACCCAGCAACAGTGAGAAATGGTGCCTGAATATAAAAATGGAAATGCCAAGAGAGTCTCAAAAAAATGAAAAAGCAAAAGAGGGGTTCATGAGCGTCCTTGGACCCCTCAACATGGTAGTTGAATTCTTCATCTTCAACCTGCTGCTCTCAATCAGTTCATCAACAACTAGAACGGATGGCATTCAGAGAAATGTTTCCTTTCGAGTTGCTTCTGTGAACTATGCTATAACGAACCTTTCTGAAGGAAATCTTTCATAACTCCTTTCACTTATGCAAAGCAATATTTCCGTATCGAGACAAATTTAATGTCAGTTTTAAGAGGGGTTTTTCCAGACTTTTCAGTTTTGTCTCAGATTTCCCTGATCATCTTTATTTCATGCAGAAGCGCGATGTTTTGAACGCAGAATTTTCCAGAGCATACAGTGTCCTTCGGCCGGGAGCCTATCCACTGGTATGGTTCAACGAGTCATATATAATGGACAATGGAACACGGGATGATTTCAACTCATCATTATTCAAACCAAAGAAAATAATCGAAATAATATGTTGGTGTGCTATCGGAGTAGGAAGTAAGCATCCTATTGTATTTTCTTCAAAACAGCTAAAGATGAAAGAAAAGATGCGGTTTTCGCTTGAAATGGGCGGTAAACATTACTACCCTATCCAAATTAGCACAAGGCACTTCCTGTCGCTAGGGGAGATTTTTGTAAACCACGACTCCCTTTAGGATCTCCTAGTACGACTCCTTCCCATCATCCATCCATCATCTTGCCTGCCATCTTTCTGACCTTTCCCGAATTCCTACCACCATCCTCCCTGCGTTCTTTTTTTCAAAATTTTCCCACTTTCTCACGCACATGTAGTTGAAAAACGAGAACAGTGAACAGCCAAACACATTTTTCTCGGATTTGACCCCCTCCAGCGAGCAAACGCGACCCGCCCCCTTCCTTGTTAGCGATTCCCAAAGTACGAATACGCCCTGGTCAGCGAGAGCATCTGTCAGGACTTCTACATCTAACGCCTATTCTGCGAAGGCGATACCTTCCCTTGGAACAAAAAAATGAAGAGAAGAAACATTGTACTCAAAAGCATGGAGCAGAGCACAATTAGTGTAGCAAAAACATATATTTGATCCCATTTTCAGGTTTCCTGATAGTTTTATCTGCTATTCTGTGCATTGTCACTATGTACTATATGGGGGAGAAAGACGAAGATAAACGAGATTAGATGCTTATTACATTGTGCTTTCAATGAAATTAATTGAATATTTGATAAATATGTTTTACTTGTGATCGGATTCTTTGACTTCTTTCCCTAGATACACCAACGAAGACATCACCGGGATGCTGAGCCAGAACCTGCTGTTTGGAGCCTCTGATGCTTGTCGGACATTGTTCTTTCCTCTACCAAGAGCCTGTGCGCAACACCATTTCTGCGTAGAACTTGCCATTTGCGAGCCGTGTAGCTGCAAGTGCTGCCGCTAGTGCTTGCGCGGTCTAAGGGTCCGATCTCGGATGGCCTGGTCTTGCGTCGTTCTGAAGTTGCACGATTGGTGCCAGAGTTGGCTGGGAATATAAAAACTATTCTTCTGTATATCAGCTGGTCCCCAATTCACTGTCTATTTACCATCGCAATCGCAACATTCTTGAATGCAGGTCAAGCATTCCCAGGAAGGACATAGCAACGCTGGGATCTTCATGCTTTACCTTTCGCTTGCTCCTTGCGAGGATCAAACTGCAATGCCTGCATTTTACACTTTGCAAGCTCGCTGAAATGGGAAGGGAATCATCTTCCTGGCCACTGTAGACTATAGTAGCAGAAGTATTCCGACTATTCGCAATATGGTGGTCAAAAGGAGGTAAGCATAAAGAGTCAAAATGTTCTACCGAGAGCTGAGGGTTATCAGAGTATCAGGTTGTAATCAGGGCGAAAGTGAGAGCTGCAGCAGCTTTTCACTCTGATGATTTTGATCTACAATCCGTACGCTTTAAAGGCAAAGCCCGCGACTGTAGATGGTGGAAATGGATCTCCCAGGACGACAAAATGCTAGGTAAGTGGAGAAATTTAGGATTACAGAATAATCAGTCTGATATGCGCTGTATTGGACTCCATGCCGATCCCAACTTGTACGTGAACATGATGAACAAATTGCGAGTTTGTAGGAGTTTCCACTCGGTGTTATCCTAGCAATATGAACCCCTTTTCCCTCATTCCCTCATTATCATCATTCGGATAAGGAGAGAGCTAGCAAAGGAGGAGAGAGCTAGCAAAGGGGCTACTAGCTGACAGTTAGTAGTCACTCGGATTGGCATGGGCGTAAGGGTTGCTCATGGGCCTCGTTGCTCAGTTTTCACCCGGCTGTGGTACCTTCCAAAAATGGAAATTGGCAAGAATTCCGGTGGAAACTGAGCAACGAGGCCCGTGAGCAACCCTTAGGCCCATGCCACCCCCAGTGACTACTAACTGCTAGCTAGTAGCCCCTTTGCTAGCTCTCTCCTTATCCGAATGATGATAATGATGGAATGAGGGAAAAGGGGTTGATCCGAGTGGAGACTCGTACACACCTGCAATTTCTCCATGGTATTCACGTACAAGTTGGGAGGGGTGTGTAACGTTAGGTAAGCCGGTAATTAGAATGGCTCGGGCGTGTGGTGTTCTTTAAAAGATTTCTATACACCGCTCTCGTTCTAGGTATCTCGCGTGTGGGTCGCCTCACCTAAATGGTTCCTCGCTAAGCTCCTGCCTGACCTTTTCTCGACTTGCCGATTACATCATAGCAGTCGAAGAAATTCATAGATCCATCAGTGAATATTATTGAACTAAGAAGTGCAAAATGTTAAAACGTGAATCAAAGCACAACAAAATATGAAAAACACGACTAAATTGGAAGCACCGCAACTATAAAAATAAAGTTTACAAAGGAATCCGAGTTCATAAACTTAAACGCGGCACTAGTTCAGCGCAAAAAAAGCTGTCGTGTGCTGCTCGAGCTCTTTCCTACGCGATAAACACGCTAATGGCCATAGACCGATTTATCCACATTTTTAACCTGAGTGCGCTTCTATGCGACAAAATGAAAGACATTTAGAGATGCAAAGCCTCCTAACGCCGTTCAGAGGAAATCACGGCAGATTTTTTAGCATTTGGGATCTGCGTCGCAAAGGCATACGATGGTTGAGGCTTGACCACAAATGACTACGTCACGCGGTTCGTCCCTTAATCACCATAGTATGAAGTTCTTGAAGAGCTCATGACCTCATGTTTGGTTGATGCCGTTTTGAAAGATATCAGATGGAAGGAACACAGATACATGGAAAAGAGGGTGAGTGCGTTCTGTTTGAGACGTCAGGAAAAAGGTAGAAAGCTGGTTCGGTACATCATTGGATCATGCTTTATTGAAGAATGTGCACATACAGGTGGCAGAAGTCTCTCCTGATCACCTCACCTTGGAACATATTATATAAGACCATTTTCATCAATGTGAGGAAGTAGTGAAGGTCATAGTGAACGAATTGACTTGCCTATAGGCGAGGAACAATCTATTCGCTGCAATTACAGCAAGTTCTTCACGCAAAACGCATTCAACACATAACTGATGATTAAATGTCTTGGGGTGCATTCTATGTGAACTTAATTGAAAATTTTATGCGCATTTTCGCTGAATACTTTCTTCACCCACATGAATACTACATTTCATGTCGTGTGGGTATGTTTTCCACATCAATCCTTGTGGTTTCATGTAATCTTTTTTGCAAACCCATGGTATCAAATTTCTTTCACATTTCGTACATTTATTATAATTTAACCCACTGCTTTCCATGCTGTACTTGGTTACCTGTGCCTGTCGACGAGAGGTCAGGAGCCTAGCGAGGAACCATTTAAGTGAGGTGACCCCCACAGGCGAGTATACCTAGGGGCGAGAGAGGTAAGAATCTTTCAAGAAAGTCCTACACCCGGCTGGCTCTTCGCACCTAGTCTTCCTTGCCAATGGGGAGCCCTCGCATAATTGAGTGACCTCTTGTTAGAAGGTGAATGATCGTGTCGTCCCTGGAATTCTGTAAATCAGCACGTCGTTCTTTCCTCTTTTACTTACCTGTCTCTCGCCAATGTATCGCTGTACACCTTGGTGCTCTGGAGTAGCAGGAGAAGCGGAGGCATCTGAGGTAACTGAAAGAAACGAGTCCGGCATTGCCGAATGGGATGGCTCGCAGATGCGATGTGTGTCTGCAAAGAGGGGAGGGGTGTAACAGAGGTTGCTACTGTGGGCGCAGGTTCTGTCGCAGAAGGTATCTGTGGTAAACTGAAGACGTATATAGTGAAGGAGTGGCCGCATGCATTGTGCTGTAGTAAATGTCTGCAAAAGATCCATAAGCAATATACGTTGGAGAAGGAGTATTTCTGGTGCAGATAATGACGGGTAATGCTGCAAACGACTTGTAGTATGGTCGATCGTCAGGGCGCATGTACAATGATGAGATGAAATAGTGAAGTGATTGGGCGACTAAGAACGGTTGGGGACGTAGTTAACATGATAGCTCACTGTGCATATAGGACTAGGTGGCTCCTGGGAAGCCACTCGTAAGAAATACGGCAGTACTGAAGTCCGCGTAATAAGTTTGAAATCAATGCCTGCGTGCACAAAACACGGACAGACCGCTGTTTAATGCAGTGATCTTCTGCTGATAAACACCTCTCGAAGTGTGCGCTGCTAATACACAGCGGAGAGTCTTAGGGAGAATTTAGTAATAGTATCAAAGAGTAGTAGTATCAAAGAGTATCTAGTAATGTGCAAAAGGTCATCCGCTGGAAATGTTGATGCAGCTCCTTGAGCGAGGTACCAAACAGGCGATCTCACACGGTCTCCCCACAAGCGGGCAACCGATCTAAATCGACATTTCCATAGCACGGCCTACAGAATTGTCTACCGGATCATATAATGTCAAAGGTAGGAAAGAAATGGAAATGAATTATGGGATTTATTAAAGAGAATAGAGTGGGTTGGTTTCGCCTCTTCTCAGACGAACCACCTTATTCCATCCATCCCAGGAGGCTCCTCAGTGAGGTGGGATGGACGGAATGAGAAGTATGAAAAGAGGGAATGCAACCTTTATGGTGGGGATACAAATAAGAGCTACCAGGGTCTCGAAGAAAGTAACTTAATAGTAATCAAGTGTGTTAGAAGAGTCACGAACATGGGGTATGTACAAGCAACTATTTTTAGGAAGATCCAAGTGAAAGGCGATACTCAGTTAATGTAGATACGCAGTGAAATTGGAGCGCATTCAAATAAAGGGTTGTGTATATGGAACCGATAACTTTGCTATACTGGAAGAAGAGGAATATTAGGAAGAATCTATTATTTGTTACCCATGTGTATTAATACCAACAAGGCTCTCCACTAATAGGCGAATACCTTTAAGGTACCCTTTTATGAATATTTGTGACAGATGAACTTATTTTTATATAGGCACCTATTGACGTTGGCCACAATGAAGCCATCTTCATATCCATTCCCTCTCAAAATCTGTGTCATATTCTTTAATCTAGAAACAAATGCCTCCAGAGTGGAGCAAGTATATGCTATGCTTAATGTTTCGGTATATATTACAGCTCCTTTATTTTTTATGCTTATATTAGAGTCATATGTGGGAACCTATTGACTTTGAAGTTAAAAGTCATCCGTTTTGTTATAAGAGTTCTGTATGAATAGTATTAATATTATTTACAGAAAGTAGTTATATCTAGATAGTTACTTCTGTATTCCGTAGTAGGAGTTTTGTTAAAAGAATCTTATTATAGACTTTTCTAGAAAATTGTCAATAGATTCCTTTGAGTGATCTTGGATAATAAGTAAATCGTCCCTGTATCTGTATGGTATTAGTGTATAGTTAGCAAAAGCAGGTGGTTCTTGCACAGTTATGTCGGAACATCGGAACAACAGTTTTTCGGAACATCTTCTGTGAGTTCAGAAAATACTTTTATCCGTTATTTTGTCAAGCTTGCTCTTACTTGCAGCAGGAAAAGGCTTAAATGCCGGCAATTGTGCTTCGCTTTCAAGACTTTTAGGCAGTGTTTACCTTTACTGCCCAAATCACCCGAAATCAGGCCAGTTTTTGACCGACTTTTTTCTTCGTAAGCAGAATTGGCTGAAAAGTTGCCTACTAGGGTAGTCTGCCCTTCTGAACATGATTATCACATCCGCTCGGCACGAAACCTCCTAGCACCCG